TCTTTACTTCTAACAATATACAATTTGAAGTGTTTGTTTTTAATTGAAAAATTTTGTGTAAACATTTATGCACTAGACATAATTTTTACATAATTTTATCTAATTCTACTATTCAACCGCTACAATGCTACCAATCAAGCTTATATTGAACTTGTTCTTTACTATTCAACCGCCTTCTCTAACCACTGATTCTAACCGCCTTGTTGCAAACGACCCACTATTCAACCGCCCAAAAACTTTCAACCGCTCGTTTCAAACGGAGTCACCAATCGGACCCAACGAATTATTCATTTAACAAAGTGTCAAAAGAGAAGGTCGTTTTAAGAGAAATTAGAATGATCTACTGTTCTTATTATAATTTTCTATCATCCTGATACGATCATTTACATAACGAAAAAAGAAGTGATGGTACAAGAAATTGACCGTAGTTTTTTTTTGAATTGAATTTTAAATTATATTCAAACAAAAAAAAACTTGTTTTACAATTTTTTTGGTTTGTTAAAAATTGATAATTTGTTTTTTTTTTTGGTTTTACAACTGAATATCTAAGTTTTTTTCTCTCATTAATCAAGTAAATAAATAAAGTCTAAAATTAAAAAATACTCATTCAAAATAATAATATTTTCTTTAATTTTGGTTTTGTAACTTAAATTTAAAAAAATTTCCTGCAGCGATTATACATAGACTAATGATCATGTCTAATTCGCATACAACTTTTAAACCTAAAGAAAATGCTTTAAATTTTTAACGAATTTTGCTTTGTTCTACTTTTTTCTTTCACTACTTTATAAACGTTGAAGATTGTTTGATTGTAATAAATGATAGATACGTATAGTCACTTTTTCTTTGTTGGATGCATCCTATGGTCTTCGTTTTGTTGCTGATTTGTTCCTAAATGGTGTATTAGATGGTTATTCCTTATGGCGATAATATTAGGGAAATTGCGGTTTTCAACATTTGATTATGTACTGTTATGTGCAAAGACTCAACAATCGATGATTTTCATAATGAAATCGGTCTAGAAAACTAGTTTGTCTTTGGTTGGCAAATGATTGAGTGTTAGACAAAATGTGTATGACTTGTATTGAACAAGAGTACAATTATTGAGTTTAGAGTGAGCAAGTGAGAATTCTAATGCTAAGAGTGTGTGTATTTGGATATGTCATCTGCCTTATTCTTCCTTTTTTTTCATACTTCAAGCTTTCATTTATTCTCTATCATTAGTTTATTGGGCTGCATCATTTCCTAACAACTCTCCTTCTAAATGGGCTCCACTCACTAATTACTTGGGCCCAACACCAACATAAACTCTCGTCTATCTTTGTAAAGTTGATTCATTGTGAGATTAAGATGATTTTGTACAAATCATAGGAGCAAAAAAGGTATCACATCTGTATCATATCCTTTCTTTTTTTTTTCGGTGATGAAATTAGGAAAATTGAGGTTTTCTACATTACATGCTATAATTTTATAATCTTAAATCAAATTACATTTACGGATTTTTTAGTCATTAATGTAATCTTTACATTAATAACTAAAAAATCCGTAAATGTAATTTAATTTAAGATTTTAAAATTATAGCATTTACATTAATGACTAAAAAATCCGTAAATGTAATTTAATTTAAGATTTTAAAATTATAGCATGTAATTTAATTTAAGATCTTAAAAACCTTAGCTACTTATTTTGTGATATTTATATGATTACATTCATATCCTAATTGAGTGACATGAAGGAATACTGAGCCAAGAAAAAAAACGTAAACCGAAGCGAGCGAACGTTTCTTATTGGATGAAACACATCATCCACTTCAATAGCACAACAACATTAATTATCATACAAAAATAAAACAAATATTTAAAAAAATCATAATTTTGTTTTCTTTAAACAAAAAAGAAGAAATTCAACACGATTGAGAAAAAACCAAAACGCACCGCCTCGGTCGTGCTGCAACGCTTCTCTTTACGGTCTGACCTGCCGACAAATCCATTGGCTTGAGCCTCTCTCTCCCTCGCTGATTTATTACTCACGGATCTCCGACCAACAAACCAAACCGTTTCACACTGTTGTTCATACCTCCATTCTCTCGATACTCTCGCTTTGCTGTTTTTTTTTCTAGGGCTTCCTCGTTTGATTTCTAATCTCTCCTTTAATCGATCTATCTCCCGAATTCGTGGTTAGATTAGATCTGTTTGGAATTTTAGGAACGGGTTTTGGATCGTATTTAGATAATGCACGAGAATGATGATCTTCCGCATGATTCCATTGATTCTGTAGTTGAGAATGATGATGACTCAAACGGACAAGAAGAGCTTGATCCTGACCAGGTGAGATTTGTAATTCAATTTTGATTTCTAATCGTTTATGTTCATTCAGAATTTTCTAATTTTTTTGGGTGGTTTTGTGATTTGCAGGGAACTGGTTTCGTTGACAGTAAGGAAGATATGTTTGTTGATGCTCCTGAAGAGTTGAATTTCGATACACCCAACAAGGAGGAAGCTCTGACTATAGATGAATATGACAATGGAGAGATTGGAAATCAATCCAATGTATGTGGTTTTTATGGTTTACTTCACTAAGTGTCTAAGTTGAGTTGAATTTCGAAAGATCTTTTGTTTTGTTCATGTTTTATGTTTCTTTCTACCATGCAGAATAAGAAGGAGGACTTGGAGAAGGAACTTACAGGGTTGCAGGAGCAGTTTAAGCTGTTGACTGGTGAGAATGATTTGAAAGGTGAAGATGGGAACATTGTGGAAGTTGTCAGTCGTTTCTCAAAGTTTCTAAAAACTGTTGAGGAAGAGAGGATTCAGCATGATGATGCACTTAGGGAGCTTCGTGGGGTTATCAGTGGGAAAGACGACGAGATTGCTGATCTCGCCGCAAAGATTTCAGAGATTAATTCTTCGTCACATTTGGTTTCCGAACAGAAGGAGGAACTTACGGTTGGTACTGATAGGATTTTGCTTTCTCTTAGTAGTGTATTTGGTGAGGGGGAGCTTCTGTATGGTTCTTCTGTCGCTGAAAAGCTTGCTCATCTGGAAAACCGAGTTTCTTTTTTAAGTGCAAAGTATACTGAGTTTTACTACGGTGCTGATCAGTTAAAGAAATGTTTGTCCAGTCAAGGGTCGGATCTTATCCAAGAGGATTTTGGTTCAGTTCTAGGTGCTGCTTGTTCTGAGTTACTTGAGCTCAAACAGAAGGAAGCAGTCTTTATCGAAAGAATTAGCCATCTAGAAGAAGAAAATAGAAAATTGGTTGAACAAGTGAACAGTGATAGAGAAATGATTGAGTCAATCAGAACAGAATTTGGAAAAACGAAGGCAGAGCTTGAGCAAGAAAAAACAAGGTGTACTAACACAAAAGAAAAGCTCAGCATGGCCGTTACAAAGGGGAAGGCGTTAGTTCAGAACCGGGATGCTTTGAAGCATCAAATATCTGAAAAAACAACCGAGCTTGAGAATAAGTTGACTGAATTACAAGAGATGAAGATTGCCCTTGAAACTTCTGAATTAGTGAAGGCTCAGCTGGAGCAATCTTTAGCTGAAAAGACGTTTGAACTTGAGAAATGCAATACTGAATTGCATGATAAGTCTGCATCCCTGGAAGCATATGAGCTAACAAACAAAGAGTTGGATCAGTCTCTGGCTGAGAAATCAAAAGAACTTGAAGAATGTTTGATGAAATTACAAGAGATGTCATCATCATTGGATAAATCTGAACAGATGAAAGGCGAGTTAGTAAAATCTGATGCTATGGTTGCATCGTTTCAGGAAATGGTATCGGTAAAGAGCTCTATTATTGAAAATATTGAAGCCATTCTGTCACACATTGATACACTTGAAGAAGGTCAGTCTTTCGATATTATTGAAAATGTTAGGTCACTTGTAGAAGAGAGGAAAGAGCTCAAAAATTATTACCAGGAATTCAACAGACTAAAAGATTTGATCTTTTCCATTGACTTACCAGCGGAGATTTCCCAATCCAGCTTAGAAACTCGCCTAACTTGGCTTAGGGAATCTTTTTTCCAGGCAAAGGATGAAGTTAGTACCCTGCAAAACAAGATCGAAAGCTTAAGCATGTCTCTTTCAGCAGAAATGGAGGAGAAAAATAATTTTAGAAAGGAATTGGATGAGTTAACTTTCAGTTTGAAGAAAATGGAGGAAACTGCAGAGCGAGGTTCTTTGGAGAGAGAGGAGATTGTGAGAAGACTTGTGGAAGCCTCTGGCTTGATGACAGATGAAGTCGAACATCATAATTCTTCAGCTATCAATTCGCTTGTTGATAAATCCTTCGAGAAGATAGAAAAGCAGATCAAGGACTCTAGTGCCAGTTCTTATGGCAACGAAGAATTATTTGAGAGATTGCAAAGTCTTCTTTATGTGAGAGATCATGAGTTGTCACTTTGTAAGGAATTGCTAGGAGAGGAAAAGCTGTTTAATTTGCAGGTATGCAATCTCTCAAATGAGCTAAAAATCACATCTCGAGAACTTGCTTCCGTGAAAGAAGAAAAAACTGCTTTGGAAACAGATCTTGAGCGATCAGAGGAGAAATCTGCTTTGCTCAGGGAAAAACTTTCAATGGCTATCAAGAAAGGTAAAGGACTAGTCCAAGATAGGGAAAAGTTGAAAAATCAGTTGGATGAGAAAAACTCTGAAACTGAGAAGCTGATGCTCGAGTTGCAGCAGTTAGGTGGTACGGTTGATAGCTACAAGAATCAGATAAATATGTTATCTGAAGACTTAGAGCGAACGAAAAAGGTAGAGACCGAGCTTGTTGGTATTAAAGACGAAAGAGATCAACTCAAGCAATCCTTATCTCTGAATGACACCTTGTTGCAGAAAGTGATGAAATCAGTTGAAACTATAATTATCCCTGGTTATTTGGCATCTGAGGATTCTTCAGAAAAGATTGACCGACTTGCTGAGTACTTTAAGGAAGTGCAGTTGGCAAGAGTAAAGGAACAAGAAGAATTGGAAAAAGTAAAGGAAGAAGCTAGTACATTAGCCGCTAAAGTAGCAGAAACCCATACAGCCTTGAAGTTGGCTGAGGATGCCTTGTATACTGCAGAGGGTAATATCGACCGACTTGCTGAGGAGAATAGGGAAGTCCAAGCTGCCAAGGACACACTTGAAACTGCACTAAGGCAGGCTGAAAGAAATATATCTGATATCATCACTGAAAAAGAAGAGGTTCAAAGCAGAACTGCTACAGCAGAGATGGAGCTAGAGATGTTGAAAGAGGAAGTTTCAAATCAGAATAACAAATTAGCAGACGCACATAGCACCATAGAGTCACTTGAAAAAACACTTGCTCAGACAGAATGCAAACAAACTGAAGATGACAAAGATTTAACTACAAATCTGACGAATGAGTTAGAGAAGCTTAGAAATGAGGTAGAGTTCGAGCGTAGCAAGATGGCCGACGCTTCCTTGACAATAAGCTCCCTTGACGAGGCATTACTGACGGCAGAGAATAATCTTTCTGCTTTACAAGGAGAAATGACGAAAGCTGAAGCTGAGATATCAAGTCTCAGTAATAAACTTAATGTATGCATGGAAGAGTTAGCTGAATCAAGTGGAAACTCACAGAGCAAATCTTTGGAGATTATTGCTCATCTTGATAATCTCCAGATGCTACTGAATGGCGAAGGACTAGTTTCCAGGGTGAATGACTTCCTTGAGAGAAAATTCAGGAGCCTTAGAGACATGGATGTCATTGCTAGAGATATCATAAGAAATGTTGGTGAGAAGGGATTATTGGAAGGGGAATTGGACAATGCTACGGAGGTAACATTATTCTCGAACCTTCACGTATCATTATTTCTTCTGTTTGTTGACTTCTTTTACATATAAGTGTTACCATTTCCGTTCATTATTCCTGTTTGCTTATTTATTGGTTTTAAACATGGCTTATTTGAGATGCACACATCTAGTTAGAAATTATAATTTTTTTTTGTATAAAAGTTGATTACCGGCGATAGTAATGATGAATTATTATTCTGTGAACTATAAATGTTACATACATAAATGGAGCATATGCACATCTAGAAATATAGATGGACCATACTTTATGGATCTTTTCTTGGAGAACTTTTTATAAGGCTGTTCACTTGACATGCTGTTTATATTTCCAGGATGATTCGACTATTGCAAGATCCGTGTTGAGTGGTCTTGATGAGTCGGCGAATACAGAGCTGGAGAATAGTCAAGGGAGTGCAGCTGATGAAGACGCAATTTCTTCATCCCTTAGGAAGATTGCAGAGGGGGTCAAGCTGAGAAACGAAATACTCCAGAAACACTTCGAGGGTTGTACAACTTCTATTGATACACTCATTGGGGGGTTGATGGAAAACCTTACAGCAGCTAGGGCTGATGTGAAAAATGCCATGGGTCATAATGAGTCCCTGAAAGAACAGGTGAGGAGTGCTGAAGATATTGTTCGCGAACAGGAGAACACTATATCTGCATTACAAAAAGACATGTCATCTTTGATGTCTGTATGTGGTGAGGCTACCAGAGAATTGCAGTTGGAAGTCAAAAATGACCTCCTAGAGTTGGTTCAGGTCCAAGAAAATGAGAATGGTGGTGAAACTGAATCAACTGAACACCCACATGAGTTTCATTTAAGTGAATGTGCCAAGAGAGTAAAAGAATTATTGTCTGCCACAGAGAAGGCATGTAGTACTCTTAAACTCTTTGAGAGAACAAGTAATGCAGCTGCTGTTGTAATCCGAGATATGGAGAACAGACTAAAAGAAGCATCTGTCACTCTAGAAAAGGTTGTGTTAGAAAGAGATCTAAACCAAACGAAGGTTTCAAGTTGTGAGGCCAATGTGGAATCTACGGAAGCGCTTTGCCAAGATCTGAAACTTCAGCTGGAAAATCTCAAAGCGGAAGAAAAGAAATGGCATGAAAAAGAGGTGGAACTTTCTACATTATATGATAAATTGTCAGTGCAAGAGCAAGGTAA